TGATTTCTGCCTTTATTCATTATTAGTATCATACTGAACAAAATGCAGTATTTTGAACCCCATTTCCCGGTTGCTTTGTGGGCATGTATTGCGCTCGTGTAGATACGGAGAAAGTCAAATCTATCAATGATTGGCCTGTGCCAATGTGAAACAGCTGATTGAATGGCTAAGCCCGCCCAACCATATGCACAAATTTACGCGCAATTACGCAGCGTTGGTGCGCCCCTAACGAATCTTTTAAAACCAAAGTTAATTGATAGTGGGCATAATATCACCATGCAGTATTTGCCAAAGTGAAGAAGAAGAGCTTGCGAGATGCTTTCGTCGTCGCGATTACATACCATGAAACGCCTTTCCTTGAGGTCTATACTGCAAGTGATGATTCCATCGGTTGTGCGTTGATGCAACACGATTGTGAGAGCCGAGAGCGAATTGTTTCGTATCAGTCGCGATTGGATCGAAACTATCCACTTTATGACAAAATGCTTACTGCAATATAGTATACTTTGGTCAAGTGTTGTGTGTGCTTGCATGGAGAGGAGCGCTTTGCGATGTAAATAGATGATGCCTCCCTGCGTACAGCAGTATACACACCTCATTTATTGCAGAAAACGGCCGGATTTTTCTTCTTCTTTGCAACGTTCAACGTTGTTATACATTACAAGCCAGGCAAAACAAACATCATAGCCGATGCATTGGTAAGACATACGGACTATGATCCAAAGTCCAGGAGCGAAAAGATGCACGCGCCAGGTCGACAATGCGAAGAAAACAGACGATAAGCGTGCAAAATACGACTTCGTTGCGCGAAGAAATGTCGAAGGGTACAAGTCCGATGAGACATGTCAGAACATGTTTGAGTATTTCAAGGACCCTTTTAACAAGGCACTGTAAGGTCATCCGTTTTGCAATAGATCGCGTGTTCACTGTTTCGAAGTACACAATAGAGTGGTTAACTGCGATTGATTACGGGGATTCAACAAAAGTTGTTGTTCAAATGACGAAGGTTTGCGTCATCGTGTCAACGAAAACAATGACAACCCTCAAGATGGTCATCTCGGATGTAACAAAACGCGTCTCAGTCCCTCCCGGAATAATATTGATCATACATGTTTAAGTAGATGCATAAGTATGTCGGCACTTGAGAATATTGTCAGAGAGTGAAACCAAAGGGCTCTACTTAAGCCCCACTTCGGTCGTTGGCAGCGCAAACTGTCAGCGGGAAGTGTATGGGTATGACCTTCAATTCTGACTTTTGCGTGACACACATGAACGCAGTGGCATCCTTGTATTAGTAGACCAAGAAAGCAAGATGGTATATCTTACGCCTGTTTCAGATAACTAAGGTAAGGTCTTTGTAGACGTTGTTTTCAACCTGCATATCATTTCTGCTTAGATCACGTCAGAACATGACACCCGTTTCACGTCAAGGTTTTGGCGTGCACTCTTAAACTACTGGACATTGTCCATATCCACAGTTCACATAAAATTGCGAATAATCTGATGCGACATGCATGGAGCTGTACAACGCAAAATTTCGAGAGGGCGAAACTCATTCCATTCTTTGATCGCCTTAGCGAAACTAAGCAGTATGTCCTCCTGGACTCGACCAACACGTTCTGTTTGACCGTTCGTTTGAGGGTTTGCCGCTATGGTATTTTCCTAGAGTACCTACTTCCATCATGGACAACGGAGGCATAGTCAGACCTAAATGCTGCTACATAGTTAAAAGCGAATATTAACCCAATAACAGCTCAAGAGGTTATGACAAGTCGTGGTAAAAGCACGTCGACAACTTGATATTGGAGTCAAGCCGTTGTGCGTTTGACGAGACAAATACGAAAGCTCTGGATCTGCAAAAAAAAGCTGGCAGATAGCACCAAAAAGAAGAATAGGAATGTATATAAGGTTGATGATCTTGTACTAAGCATTCCAAGATTCATTGTACCGTTTAGGCTATTAAAATGCAATGGTGATGCTGATACCCTTTGATCCCTACATTCATGCACCTACACACTACAATTGACGTGGGTAAGCTCAAGTCTTTTTTTTCGAGTGCATCTGCCATTCTTTGGTCGATAATCAAGCTGATCGTGAAGTTTCGCCACTTCACCAAGAAGATCAATCATCTTTTCGCCCTGGAGATTCTAGTAGGAGTTGAAGCGTTAAAGGACATCGAAGGAATCCTCCTTTACTGAATCGGCGAGAACCATTCTCACCACAAAAAACATCAAGAACTGATCTAACCTTTTTTAACAAAGCGCAACAAATGTTCGTGAGCCAGCCCACGCTACTTCTCATTATTTATGAATCAAACAGGTTAATCATGAACCAGTTGATATCGTAGTTCACATTGGGTCCCCATCGCCGAGCAATAGGTGTACCATCGGTCAGAACGTCGAGTTTGAGTTATTCTCTGCAGCAATACTGAAAAGAAATCCGAAACGATCTTCACACGCGGGCCAACGCTGCTGCAATGCCTTTATTTGCCCGCGATGAGTGCTCGTTCACCTTTCAGAGTCTCTCAACCGTTTTCACGTTTAACACCACCTCCGTTATTATACTCTCACGGATAGCGTTGTTGGGTGATTGAGATAATTGTCGATCACGAGGATCGATCGACTCGGTATCGTGAAAAGAAGCAATTGAATGATCGACCTTTCTACAATATTTATTGGCGGTTATCCATCTGACTCGGACTCGTGGGATCCTTGTCAGGCTCAGGAGTCTGATTTTCCCGACGTTGTTCGCAGCAACGTGAATATCTTGTATTGTTGCCTCTAATAGCGCTACGACAACCAGAAAATATTTTACTTGGTCGTGATTGTAAGTCCTACCAGAATGACTTGGTGAGGCAGACGCTCCAGGTTGTTCTTGTTCTGACGGCCAACAAACATCCGTTACGAGTCCAGCTTAGCTGCGGTGCACTGGATCGGATCATCATGATTGTTGATCCGACGCCAGCGAAAGAATAGCTTCATGTGATACATCTTGTCTCCGTACCAATTCATTTAAGGGAAATGAATGAGTTCTGGAGCTGTTCGTTGCCGTTTAGAATGCTCTTCAAATTTGACTTGTTCACTGGAACGCTTCACTGTTAATTGGAAAGTGAATCGCTACAAAATATCTTCAAGAAAAAACGTTTTGAGTTCAAGTGGAGGAGGATGCGATAAGCTACACTTAGCCATTACATGCAAGTACATCTATCCTCCTTCTGTTGAAGTTGTAGGAATTTATGTAGAGGATCATATTATGGTGCTCACCACATACATGAGTGACATGTTATATTCACAAACATTCTGGGTGATACAGAATGCTAGACTTTTTGCTTGGGGAGTGTGCTGGTGACGAGACCGACGTCTCTGTCTTTTAAGGTTGGTGGCATAGGTCAGTCACTTCTACCGAACTAGAGCATACTCTTAATTACCCAAAGCAGGCTCGTAGGTGTCCAAGGTTAATTAATAAAACTTGGGGAACATGTTGGATGTTTGGCATGTTGATCTAGAGACCACTAACATAATTTACTTCATTTGCAAATTTGCAGATTACGACCTTGAGTCGTTCATCTTCGAGAGAGTCCCTCTCCCTCCACTTCGGAATTATGTTAAAGGGAATGCTGTGAATAGCACCGGTTAACATAAACTAAGCTGGTTTGAGCGCGCAATTTATAGTATCTGCTGGCGACATTGACGAGAAAAAAACTGCAAGTCAATCCAACGTTGCAACAGCTCATTGTCGAGCCAGGTTTTGCTTACTTTTGACAACGTCACGCTTAATTTCTACTCTAAGCTCGTCTTTCTATCGCTTTCTCGATCAATGCTGATATAAGATTGTGTCCGGTAACCGTTACCGTATCCATCGTTGTACAACATATCACCGCGATTCCCGTAGAGCAAGAAAACAAGCCAACGACGTCTATAGTTTGGGGTCTGAGCATCCTCGACGTAGACAGCCATTTCATCCAGCAAGGCTGTGTGAGAAAAATATTATGTGCGGCAACTGCTAGTGCAGAAACCTCATGTACGCAAAACAGCGACGTACGATGATACCGTCTGTCAGAATCATGAGGTTGGTTTGGCGGAGAGAGAATACCCGTGGCGCTTCAGGCAATTCTCAGACCAGCAAAAAAAACTCGTCATTTGGCTCTGGCGTCGTGTCATCGTGCGCGGTAGCGAACATCATGTCGACAACATACGTTTGCAAGACCACAAGTGCTGCAAAAATGTTTTCGCTGCTTTGTTTTGAAACTTTTATCTCCCTCTGCCAACACGACATGATAGGGGTTCGGTCACCACGATGACGTTCGCTCACACCACTACTTCCCACTCTGCGCCAATTTGAATATCCCTATGCGTTCGAAGAACGACCAGTGCACGACTTGGGATAAGATTGTCATGTGTATCAGATCAATAGGTCATCTCTTGTTTGTGCCTCATGGTGATGGCCCCGTGGTATTTCTTAGTAATAACAAGGCATTAGACGATGAAGAATTTGAAGATAGACGACCAGTGGAGAGATGGCAAAATCTGCACTGTCGCTGTAGAAAATCTGTAGATGTTTTCTGCCACCGGATCTCAGACGTACCCGGCTCTTACTAGCTATTACGCTTTCCAACCTTGGTAGCGGGATGCGCATGATTACACTCACGCAGAAGACAAAAAGCGTAAAAGTTGTGCGCTTGCTATATCTTAAATGCGCAATTGGCGACAGCTGGATAGTCTAGACAATTCCGATTAACGAGGAACATATGCGTTCGATGTCATCCACGAGTACAAATTCTGAAAAAGTTGAGTGTCATGCAGATACACATACGTATGGTTTTTACAGGTTAACAGCCGCACCGAACCTTTCTCTACAAGCAACGTCTTCGCCCACTATGGCCAACAAGCGAGCTGAAGTTCCCCTGGGGAGTGGTAACTACTACCACTGGGAGTTCAAAATGAGGATGACCCTGGCGCGGAATGGTCTGTTGGGGCACATCATGGCCGACAAGGAAGAGAGTGACGTCACGGAGGCCTGGCTGGTAAATGATGCCAAGGCGCCCGGCATCATCGCTCGAGGCGTTGAGATCCAGCACCAGACCAAGATTCAGTCGGCTACGCGCGCCATGGAAGCACTGGGAACCCTCCGTGATTTCTACAATCGCTTGACTCTTCACAACCGTGTTCAAGATGGAAAGTGGGACAAGCATGGCAGAGCATCTAGACTCTTTTGATGAGCTGGTAGTGGAACCCCAGACTACGAGAGAGCCAGTCGAGGAGTCACGTCAACTGGTTCTTCTCAGCAGTCTGCCGTCATTGTATGACTTAATTTCGTCGATTGTGGAGAATGACATCACTTTGATTGAAGTCAAGGAGAAGCTGCAAAGGAAGAAAGCGACGGAGAAAGCGATTCGCGTAAATGGAAACGCTAGAAGTATTCAAAGCTGGATGGGACAATGGACGAAAGGGTGGTCCTCCACGCAATAACGGCGGATCCGAGGGCAAGTGTTTTAAATGCGACCCGTTTGGGCACAGGAAGGGAATTGCGCGGCCTTTAAGAGGCAGACAGCAACGACTCGGTGTTTGCTGTTGGTGAAGGGGAAAGTCATCGGGATGGCTGATTGACAGTGGGACAGGAAAGACTTGTTTATTTACAAGGGCCGTGAGGCTAGCATTGAAGTTACGATTGCAGATGGGAAGATGTTGCTCGTTAAAGTAGCTGGCACGGTGAAACTGACTGGATTGGACGGAAGGAGCATTCGCATGGTGGAAGTTCTGCACATTTCCGGACTCGACAAAAGATAACTATCCGTTGGCAAGCTTGCAACGCTTGGTATGAGTGTGAAGTTCTCGCGGTCGTCTTGCGTCATCAGAAACAAGAAGCAAGCGATTGCGTCAGGTACAAGAGTCGGGAAGCTGTATTTGCTTTACTGTGAGCAAGAGGAAGCATGTCTCGTTATATATTCTGGGGCTGGCAATCATGGGAAGCTTTGGCATGCTCGCATGGGACACCCCAGCAAGGACGCGCTGGTCAAGACACAACGCTCTACAAAAGGAATTCCAATTAGCAAAATGAGGAAACATTGTGTGCTGGGTTTTAAAGGGCAAGCAAACAGTCACGGCATTTCCATCTCGCTCGATGTCAAAAACGACACGTGTGGTAGAATCCGTACACACAGATTTGATAGGGCCTATGAGGACTTTCTCGAAGGGTGATGCCACGTACATTCTTACGTTTGTGGATGATTTGTCAAGATATGTGGCGATTTCTAAAATCAAGAGCAAGAGTGAAGTGGCTGGCAAGTTCAAGGAGTTTCTGACGCTTTACGAGAGCCAATGGGGTGCGCGACTGAGATGTTTACAATCCGACAACGAAACCGAATTTTTTGTAAGCAAGACAATGGCTGGAATATA